TTTTTCCCCCCCCCCCCTCCCCAATCGGACATTTTTAACGTCAATCCCAGGACGATAAAGCGGCAACTCGTTGAGAAGTCGAAACACAGGCGTCTTTTTCGCACGTCTCAAATGCCCGACGGAATTCGAGAGCCGGCGGAAAATCAACAGTCTTTCGTATTATCAGATCGTCCCGTCATTCTTGGGTTTCCCGCCTCTGCCGAGGTAAATGTAATCGACCGTTCCCCGGAATGACGTTTTAAACCCTCGACTCGACGTGGGAGGACGGCAAGAATGATCGCGAGCTCGAGCAGAGCCAAGCCAACTACATTTATCGCGAGCAGTCCCCCCTTTTCCACTCGCCTTTCCCCCATCTGCCGTCGCCGTTGTAAATGGATGGCCCTAAACTCGCGCTCGCTTCCACCTAACAACCGGCGTTCACTGCCAAGATCAAGATTCGCAGTTTACCACGCGCTGCCAAAGTATATAGGACGCATTTATGCGGCGAAGATGCACAGGATGCTTCGGTCACTTTGCCACGCGAAATGACAAGTAGATGAGGCTAAATTAACTCCTTAACAAAGGCGCCGCGGTCCCAAAATCTCCTGCAACATTCGGAAAAATTCGCTTCGACGAGGCCTTTCTCATCTTTAATTGAAAAACGATGAAAGAATTTAAACATTTGAAAGCTTTTCTTTATTTATGCTACCCGATATTAAGTATTTCCGCAATTTCTCAGCTAGATATTTCATTGTATAGCTATTAACGAAGCCAGTAATGCATACAATGTTTCTAGATGGAAAAGTTAAGTAATTTTACTGAGATATAATATTTTATATGAGAGATATTTTCGCAGAAGGATTATCTTTTACCTGCAGAAAAGAAGAAACAGCGATTTATTTTGGGGATTTTTATTTCCTCTCATTTTTTGATAAATACTGTTTGAACATGTATTTAGGAATTTTTATTTATTTTTTGTTTTGTATTTTCAATTTAAATCTGAATTATCCACCGCACATTAGTTCTAAAATCGCTTTCCACTGGGGCACTTTTGGAGCACAAAGGTTTGAAGCGGACGTTTAAAAACGGATTTATTAAGGTAATTAGATCTAAAAAAATATTGCAACCATAACTACAGCTTTATGATATATATTCGCTTGCACAGGCGGAAGCACGTTAATTCTCTCTTCTCATAATACGTAACTTGATTTTTTTCCCCAATACGTCGACCGGAATATTCCGTTGTTAATGGCAGTCAATTATTCACATTTGCAATTTCGACGATTGCAGGGGAAAAAAGGCAAAAAGAGAAGAGTAGAAAATTCTACTATTCCACGTGATATGTTCACGGCGTAATTTTTCCTAATTACTCACCGCGGAATTTATCGGGCAAATGGTAGTGGAAACAGACCGCCGTACATTCTGGTCAGACGCAAAACGAGAACTTCGGGAGGAGCCTGGAAGAATCCACCGCGCGCTGGGATATCTCCGAACAAATTTCGCGGATGAAAGATCAGGCGCGTCCTCCCGCGTAATTCCACGTGGAATGTATCGGCCGATCGACGCAGACAGACGTTTCCCGACCACCCCGTGTGCCACCCTGCACGAGACAAACGATCGTGCGATTTCTTCGCTTTCCGGCTTACGGCTGTGAGTCGTGAAATTCTGCCAAGATCACTCATCGTATTTAGCGACTCGGGGCTTCACCGCTGCGAGCAAGGGATGCCGCTCGGTCGGGGACCGGAAGGGGTGGATTATCGTCGGAGGGACAGGCGGACGAACGGAGCAAGCCGCAAAGGAACTCGCAAAAATCGCGAAGACGGCGCGCTAATTACCGAAAGTATGGTACGAAGAGTAGCCAGCGGGAACAATGAGCTCGGTGGAGAATGGAAGCCGAGCGACGACGTTAATAACGCGCCTTTTTAGCGTTAAAGCATCTCGCTGGCTTTCCTTGGGATATTAACCAACGATGGAACCTAGAAAATTACTGGTAAACGATGAGCGGCAGGTAGATGATAGTCCGGTAGACAAGTACGAGATAGAATTCCGTCAAACTTTTCTGGACGATAATTATGTCGATCTATTATCGTGGAAATAATTGTCCTGAATTGAATATTTCTTAGTGTTGCCAATTACGACCGGTCGGATACCCGAATCTTTCGGGAACCGAGTATACGACTAATTTCAGACGTTATTATTATGTTATCTTGGGAGAAATCAATCATCTATGACATCTAAAATTAGCCGTGTGCTCGGTTACTGAAAACCCCGAGTACTCGGGTAGTCAAAATTAGCAGCACTAGTATTTGTAGAGAAAGACGCATAATTTGATTATCGAATATTAATTTAATATACTAATACCGACTGTTCGGGTAGATCTATTTATTTTACGATGGATCGTCGAGAGAGATCATGTGTCAGCCTGATTTCTCGATGCTCCCGAAGAAACATGTAACGGTTTCTTCTTATATTTTATAATATCAACATTATAAATTATATAAAAAAATATAAAAATCCTAATTCTTTATAAAGGAATGAACGATACTAAGATCTATTGATGCGCAATTCACGCGGTTAACAATATGTCAAAATCCGAAACGCTGAATTTAATTTAACTTAATTAATCATAAATTTAATTAACAATTTAACTTAATTAATGGTTAAGCTTTCTGACATTATTTCGACGTAATTAGCAATATGTAGGAATTATGTACCTGGTAACGGTTGGGTAGAATTAATCATAAATATCTTTATTGTATAATATTTTTGTATTATAATTTTTAATGATTAATGTCGCCGATCGGGTAACATTCTAACATTATATGTGTAATGAAAAGTTTCTATTTCACCGACGAGGAAATCGATTCGAACTTCGCCGAAAAATATGCTCGCTTTGCGGAAAAACGCGTATTATTAATCGCGTGAACGGGGGAGGGAATGGTCGTTTCTCGATTCCGCAAGCTCGCTGGGAGAGCAATATTCGTCATTCGGATCGGGTACTGCTTATGGAACAGTCCCGATATATCGTCCCCGCCGTCTCCTTAAATCGTCATATTCGACTCAGCTCCCACGTCCCCCATCTCCCGCTCGTCTCTCCGGAGAGATTAACGTATATCGCGATAGACGTCGAGCGAGATGGCCGCGATAAAAAGCAAATTTCACCGGGACGACCGCCGAGAGAAAAAGAGAGAGAGAGGCCAAGAGCTTCTTTCCCCGGTGTCGCTGAAACTGTCAAGAAATCGAGCGGATTGAAGCGACGAACGGAGCGGAAAAGTCGCGACTCTACGTGTCGAAGGGCAGCTCTCTTCCGGGACGGTCTCTTTTCCATTTCTCCGACGTTATTATCCTCGCGAATCCGACATTCCGTTTTACGGCGATATAACCGATTCTCATTCCTTCCCTCCCCTATTCACTACTTCTTTTTTCCCCTCTCTCTCTCTCTCTCTCTCTCCTCCTTCTCCTCCTCCTCCTCCTCCTCTCCCTTCGCTCTCTTCCTTTTCTTCCTTTTTTCCTCTGCGTTTTATTTTTAGTTTTTATCGTTCTCCGTCCGAGTCTCTTTGTCGTTGCGCAGGGAACGATGATGGTCTACCACTCTCTCTCTCGTCCTGTTCGTTCATTCTCTCTCTCTCTCTCTCTCTTTCTTTCTACCCCTTCGTTCTCCGTCATTTTTCTCTGCTCAAGCGGCCGTAACTTTTCTTCCAGTGGTGCGCCAGAAGTACGAGGTGCACGTGCGAGATGCCTACGTCCTGGCGGGCAACACCGGGGTGCTCAGGTGCGAGATACCGGCCTTCGTCAAGGAGTACGTCGCGGTCACGTCCTGGTTCCAGGACTCGGCCTTTAACATTTACCCCACCGCGGAGAGTGGTAAGTGCAATTATGCTGGGCCGTGTGACCCACATGAAAGCTAAATATCACATGAACCCGGCTCACCCGGGCGTGACGGTAGTCGTAACACTTTCAGCGAGAAATCGGAGCTCGCGCCCCGGCATTCTCCGCGCGAACAAGCATCGTCTTTCAAGATTTTTCGAGACCATTGTTTACCTCGCGAAATCTCCCTTGCAGATAATCCCCGTCTTTTGGGATCTTCTTGTTTTACATCTTTATTGAACATTCTTAAGTTACGCTCCTTTCGGAAAAAAAAAAACGTTCCTTGTAACAGACGAGGCACGTAATTTCGTCAGCGAAACTGAATGCGTTCGGCAAAATCATCACCTTCGTCGCTTCCCTCTTCGTATTCGCTATTCATTCTGCACTCGGCGTTAGTATTTGCGGAACGCGGACGCGCTGATGATTCTCCGTTTATCTCCGTAAGGCGGCATGCAAGGCCCGGTTAACGGTGTTATCTATCGCAATGCGCTGAACTTCGATAATAGCCGAAAAGAAACGAAGACTCATCGCGCCTTTCGACTCTTCGTGAGGCACAAATTATTCCGCGCTATAGAATCCATAAAGCGCCGATTCTTTGTTTCTCCCTAAGCATTGATAAGCGCAATAAGTAATTGTAGGAGAAGCTATTACAGCGCACCATTGTTACGCGCTGGAACAAAAGAGCCATCGTTGTATTGTTCATAAGGCACAAATTATTCTGCGCTTTAGAATTCATAAAGCACTGATTCTTCCTAAGCATTAATAAAGCACGCTGCATAACCGTTCTCAACGCTGCAACTGTGCTCACGGACGGCTAAGTATCGCCGTCTGCGCGCGTCGTAAAACGCAATACGCTTCGGCCGATAGCCGATAACGTGTGGCCATAAATATTTTCTCTTAAAAGCTGCTTTACACTCTGTCCAATTATTTTTCACACGTACGGCGAAGTTATCGTGTTTGACCGCTGTTTACGTCTTATTTCGTTGAAGAAAATTATTTATTCGGTAGCTTCTAATAGTTTGTTTATTTGCATTCAAATCAGAAAATTTCTTTCAGATCACTTTTTATACCTAAGGTAATCAGAATTTTTAATTTTAGAAAACAATTTACTTCATACTTTAATAAGATTATTATGTAATTTGAGAAATCCTTACTTAAATGTAAAACACGAAATAATATACCTAAGGTATAAGTACATATTTACTTAAAACTAAATAATTTTACTTTTAATTTTGCGTAGAATAAACGAACATTTGCATCGAGAGATATGGTTTTAAGGACATTTTTCCGTTTAAAAAAATGTTTCGGTGTACGTCCCGAAACTCGCCGGATATATGAGTTGAATAAAAAAGAACCTGGTGACACAGTCGTCGGACTTAAATTCCTCGACTCGTTCAATCCTGTTTTTCTATTTCCGGAGCGAAACGTTATTTTCATCCGTCTCGTTTAGTGCAAAATGTTCTCCCGGAAAAGCGACTAGCTCGATAGAAATCCGCATGATAAACACGAGGTGCTTCTTTCTCTCGTTGCGGCTCGCATGAGTCATGCGTACACCGACAGGCGGAACGCACGTGAGAGCGGCGCGCATTATGGCTGGTCCGGTCAATATCCGAGTTAATTAGAGTTTGAGGGCGCGATTCGAGTGGTGCGTGTGTACACGCATCGCGACGGCAGCGGCCCCACCCCGCGCGTGAGACCCGCATAAATCGCGATATTACGAAATGCCTGTGCAACGTGACGTCACGTGGGAAAGCTGAACGATGGATATTGGACGGAGATGGCAGCGAGGGCTGTAAAACGCAAAGCTGCGCGATTTTTTTTTTTCAGAAACGACTCTTTTATACCGCGAAGCCGCGCCTTATGGCTAATATTTCCCCCGATAGTTTCGCGTTTTCTCCTCGCGCGAGTACGAGCACGACGCGGTTTGGAACTTCGCGGATCGTTCGCCCGTAAACTTTCAATCGGAAAGTGCGCCGATTGAATTGTCCCGTTAAATTGAAATGGCGGACATAATTTATCGCACGGCCGCGCGGATATAAATGAATTTGCGTTGTCCGTAATTTCCAGCGCGATCGGCGGTATTTTATTTTCCAGCCCGATATCTCAAAACCGACGCTTCAAAGTGTAATCCTTCTTTTTTTTTCTTATACTTTCGCGAAGCTGCGCAAAGTATTACGGTGCATTAATCCCGACTTAAAAACAAGCCGTGGGGAAAAAGAAACTGATGACTTGGAGACATTAATTCCGCGAGCTTTTCAAGACCGGAATCGCACTCACTCCATTTCACGCGCGATTAAATTTTACTGTAAAATAATTGTAAAATGGAAAAATTGTATAATGTCCCTTACAAAAAGATTTCACGGTTTAGCTCGCGAAAACTGTTAGTTTGAGTAGTAAAAGAGTGTATTATTGAAACGAAACTGAGTAGAAGAGTAATGTATTAATGTGCTATCACTCAGCTGAAAAAGGAATATTGAGAATGCAATTTCTTGAAAAATGGTCATTTATATTCGTCTGCTTATTATATTATTTCGCTTAACAGACTGAGAGCGCAAGAAACGTGTATAAAAATAATAGGACAGATTAAAAACGGGTCACATGAGGAGTAAAAACGAATGTTTTTATAAGGGGTACAAATCACTTTTCGCAGCATCGCAATATTTACGATCTTGTCTTTTCGGGTCTCGTTACAAATATTTTCGCGGACGATGCAGCGAATAAAGAAAGGTTTATCGTCGGAACGGACGAATTCTCGTCGGGCGAATTCAGCCGCTTTCGCAATTTCGTCCCGGGGCCAACGAGAAGTCAAGCACCTGACGCACCCCGTGGAAACTTTCCCAAATTCGTTTTCCTCGTGTGTCATAATGGCGGGCATTGTATGTGTCGCGCTCGTGCGGCCTCTCGCCGACTCAGCTGACGAAAGAGGACGAAACGTGACGCATTGTCGTCGTGTTTCGATCGCGGCTTTTCAGGAACGCGCCGTGTGCGTGCGCGACATTCAGCGCGAAAATCTCTTCTCTTTCTTGCCGAAAAATGCTCGCCTCTTCCTCCCTCGTTCTCGTTTGGCGAATTCGCCGAATGTTCCCCGTCGTTATAAATTACGCGTCTAGCCCCTCTTCCTTCCCCCTCGCCGTCGAGTAAACGGCGAACTTTGTCGCGCCGGCACGCTCGAGCCGCTCGACGCGCGTGAAAGTTTTCCAGGTGATTCGTTTTCCATTTAGAGGCGCGCACCTCTCGGAGTCCCGCAGTCTACCGCTTTTCCGCCGTTCCCTCCTCAGATTGGATTTTCCTCCACGGACCGGCCGGGATCCCGTTTGATTTAATCCGAGGTTTCGTCGCCTGCCTGGCAGAAGTAAGAAACGGCCCGCTTATGAAGTTTAATCGCTTTCGGAAACAGTCACGTTGCTCTCGCGTTAAATTCACTCGCCGTAGAAGAGTCTTTTCGACGGCGACGCGGTCCGTACCGGCGCGCAGGCGGGTCCACGAATAAACGGACTAAATTACGACGCATAGTCTCAACACGGTAAATTTCTCGGCGGGATTTCTCAACAGCGTTTGCTTCTCATCAGATTGAAGTAGACTGCTGATAACACTGTTCAACGAATTTCGCATATCATAAATCATATCCGTTCCGAATTTTTATTTCCTCCATTTTTATATTTATACGCTGAAAGTGACAATCAAAAATTTATTCAGGTATAGTCCAACAAATATAAGGTATATTTTACTTTTTTTCAGTTAATGTAATATGAAAGATATAAAATTAAAATAGCGAAATATATTTTTCGTCGTAATTTCGTCTTTTTATATTTCATACTGTGAGAGAAATTAAAATTTAAATATTATATTATTGGGTGTCTTAACGGTAACTTTTAACTAAATTACACAATAACGTAAAATAAAACGAGAATCCATTGGTCTGTGAGGAGGATCCTCCAAATAACTGTGGTTGCAAAATAACTAACATATTGTCAGCCACACGTCTTTACAGGCTTCGAGAAACCACACTTTCGTAAACAGTACGCAGTAACATGGCCAGAATTTTTACAATTCTTGCAACATAGGCGTCAATATGATGTAACCTAAAAGTAAAAATAATTTTTCTCCAGAATCATCAAAAGTTAGTAGATTGATCGACGCTTGAAACTAAAGGCGTGTTTCAGCTTCCAAACTCTCGTCGAGCTCCCTCGTTTCGTTTCGGAATTTTCCGAAAACACGTCGAAGATGTCTACGTGAAACGCGTCTCATCTACTACACGCATACACACGTGACGCAAAAATTCGCTCTAATTTCGCGAATCGGAAAGATACGACGCGCGATATGAATTTTCCCGACAAACACGCCCGCTGTGTGGCGTTGTTTGCTCATTACACAGAGTGTCTGAAAAGCATATAAACAAACAGCAGGTCGTTTCTCTCGAAACACTCCGCTCGGGTTATTAGTTTCGCGCACGCCGCGAGCACATTTGCGAGCGACGCATAGTGGCTGTATCGACGCTTCGAGAGAGTCGACGTGAAGTGCCGGGGATGGCTACCCGGATGCAGCCAACTCCAACACGAAACGTTCAACCGCAATGCAAATTAGCTCGAGCTGCTTGTCTATGGAAACGTCGAACTATCCCGACCGCGGCAGTCGTCTCGGCGTCTCTCATTTGTTTCTGAGCTACCTCGCAAGTGCGCATTCGGTGCTAACATACGCTAAAGAATAGACCAGCGCTCGGAGTCCACCTTTGCGCGATAACCTTTGCGCAATAATCCAGGTCATGTGACCGTTACGGTATAACTTATTACAGAAGTTATACACATGCACGTCCTTTCCTCTTTATTCGATGTTCTCTTATTTACAGAGCTGGATAATGCACAGGACTAAAAAGTTGCGGCAGATTCGACGACCTCTTGCCGTATGTTTTTCTTTTTAACGTAAAATAAACCGTGACCATTTTAGAAAATCATCTAGGTTATGCTATTACATATATTACGCGCTATTAGATTGTGTGA